TGGGAGCAGCGGGCGAGACAGGAAAGATCTCCTGTGCCATGTGGGCAGCTCCCTGGCCAGGGATTGAACTCAAGCTGCAGTGGCAATGGATAGCCTCATAGGTTGTGTCTTAACCCCTTGTGCCACCAGGGAGGCCCTGTTGTTCATTTTTTGTATAATGTTTGATTTTTTCCTTTGTTGTAACCCCCATAAAATTCCCACCACCAAGTCACCTGTGAACGATCAACATAGCCTCTAGTGCTTTTCCCACCCCCGTTTTGATCCCTCTCCCTCCCCAGCTGTATGTCTCTGACTTACAGTTTGCCCTCTAGTTTTGTATCTATTTTTCCTTTTCCTAACCCTTGTTTGGTTCCCCCATATTCCTCCTATAAGTGAAATCATCCAGTATTTTTCTCTTTCCTTCCTATTTCACTGAACATAATCCCTCCCAGCTCCATCCATGTTGCTGCAAATGGCATGAGTTTATCTTTTTTGATTGCTGCATGGTATTCCATTGTGTATATATGCCACATCTTCTTGATCCACTCACCCATTTTTGGACATTAAGGTTGTTTCTAGGGCCTCCCCGGTGGCACAGCGGTGGAGCACTGGGTTGTGAAGCTGCTCGCAGCCTCTGCAGCGCCGGTTTGATCCCCGGCTGCTCCCCGGCCACTGGAGGAGGGTCCCACATGGTGCGCAGACCTCTCCTGCCGCCTGCTGCTCCCCTCAGCAGTGTACTTCGGTCCTTCTGCCTGCTCTGCTCCCTGCTCTGGCTCTGGTGAATTCTCTCACCCTCCTGCGCTTCTGACTGTACCCAGTGCTTGTATAATTAAATAAATGAATAAATAAAACTTTTTTTTTTAAAGGTTGTTTCTATATTTTTAGCTATTGTAAATAGTACTGCAGTGAACATAGGAGTACAGGTTTCCTTTTGAATTAATGATTTTGTATCCTTTGGGTAGATTCTAGGAGTGGAATTACTGCTGGGTAGTATGGTAGATCTATTTTTAGTAATTTGAGGAATCTTCACACAGCTCTCCATAGTGGCTGGATCAGTTTGCATTCCCACCGGCAGTGTAAAAGGGTTCCTTTTTCTCCACATCCTTGCCAGCATTTGTTGTTAGTTTTTTTTAATGTGGGCCATTCTTACTGGTGTGAGGTGATATCTCATTGTGGTTTTGATTTGCATCTTCCTGATTATAAGTGGTGTTGAGCATTTTTTTTTTCCATGTGCCTGTTGCCCATCTGCATTTCCTCTTTGGAGAAGTGCTTTTTGCTCTTGTACACATTTTTTGAATGGATTCTCTATTTCATTTTTGTTTTAAGGACAGTTTTATAGGATATATGGTTCTTGGTTGACAAGTATTTTTTATTGTAGCACTTTAAAAAATTGAGGTAGTTGACATTACGATTCAATATATATATGTATTGTGAAATGTTCACCACAATAAGTCTAGTTAACACCACACATGGTTAGATTTTTTTTTTCTGTAATGAGAACTTTTAAGATCTACTCTCTGCAACTTTCAAATATATAATACAGTATTAACTGTAGTTGCAGTGCTATATGTTAAATCTTAATTGTTTTGTGATTAGAAGCTTTTAGCTTTTGACTACCATCACCCCTCTTCTGCTAACTGCCAATCTCTTCTCTGTATCCATGAATTTGGTTGTTGTTGTTGTTTAAATTCTACATATAAGTGAGATTATATGGAATTTATCTTTCTCTGATTTATTTCACTTAGCAAGATGACCTTAAGATTCATCTATATTGTTGCAAATGGCAGGATTTCTTTTTTTTTTGACTGAATAATATTCCCTGGTGTGTCCCTAAGCCCTGTTTACCCATTGATGAACACTTAGGTTGTTTTCAGGTCTTAACTATTCTAAACATGCTGCATTTCACATGGGGTTGCTGATTCTTTGGTGTTTTTGTTTGTTTTGTTTTCTTTGGATGAATATCCAGAAAATAGAATGGCTGAATTACATGGGAGTCCTATTTTTTTTTATTGTTCTTTGAGGAGACCTAATGCTATTTTCCATAGTGGCTAAACTAATTTACATTTCCATCAAAAGTACACAAAGTTTCCCTTTTCTCCACGACCTTACCAACACTTCTTTCTTATAATAGTCATTCTAACAGTTGTGAGGCAAAGTCTCATTGATTTGCATTTCCCTGATGATTAGTGATGTTGAGTACCTTTTCATGTATTTGTTGGCCATCTATGTTTTCTTTGAAAAAAAAAAAAAACTACGCATATTCTCTGTCTACTTTTTTTTAACAAAGAATTTATGCATACAAGAACTGGGGTGTAGGCCAGATGTGTGTTTTTGGGGGTTGAAAGGATTCACCAGAGACAGTGGGGGGTGGGCAGAACAGGTGGAGCTACTGAAATACACTGCCAAGGGGAGCAGTGGGTACGACAGGAGAGGCCTGCTGTGCCATGTGGGTTATCTCCCTGGCCAGGATGGAACTCATGTTGCAGTGGCTGGTGATAGCTTGATAGCTGTGTCTTTAACCCCTGTGCCAGCCGGGATGCCCCATCTTTGCCTATTATTTAATAAGATTATTCTTTTACTACTGAATTGTCTTAGTTCTTTATGTATTGTGGATATTAACCCTTTATTAGATATATGACTTGCAATATATTTTGCCCACTGTGTAGGTTCCCTTTTCGTTTTGTTGATGGTTCCCTTTGCTATGAAGAAGCTTTTAAATATGATGCAGTCATATTTTTTTTCTTTTGTTGCCTTTGCTTTTCATGTCCAATCCAAAAAAATCATTGCCAAGATCAATGTGAAGTAGTTTACTGCCTATATTTTCTTGTACAAATTTTATGGTTTCAGTTTTTATGTGCAAGACTTTGATCTATTTTGAGTTGATTTTTGGTGTATGGTGTAAGACTGGTGGTTTCTCCTACACCATTGAATTTGTGGCTCCTGTGTTATATATTAATTGACCACATGGTCAATTAATGTAGTCATGTGTTGCTTTATAATGGGAATACATTCAAGAAATGTGTCATTAATTGACTACTGTATGAAAATGAGTGTAATTGCACATATTAGATGATATAACCCACTACACACCTAGCATAGCCCATTGGAACCACCATTTTACTTGTGATCATCTTTGATTGACATATCATTAAGCAATGCATGAATGTATATGTGGGTTTATTTCTGGGGCGTTCTGTTCTTCTTACTAATCAGTCTGTTTTTAAACTAAATACAGCACTGTTTGACAATAGCTTTATTATATACTTAAAAATTAGGAAGGTGTGACACCAGCTTTGTTCTTCTCAAGATTGCTTTTGTTGCTTGGTATCTTACGCGGTTCCACACAAATTTAGGATTGTTTGTTTGACTTCTATGAAAGATGCCATTGGAATTTTGATAGGGATTACATTGAATCGTTTTGGGTAGTGTAAATATTTTTAAAATATTATTCCAACCCTTGAGTAGGAGATGTTTCTAATTCATGTCATCTTTAAATTCTTTAATTAATGTCTCATAGTTTTCAGTGTAGAGATCTTTCACTACCTTGGTTAAATTTATCCTGTGTATTTTATTCTTTTAGATGCAATCATAAATGGGATTGCTCTTCCCTAATTTCTCTCCCTAATGGGTCAATATTAGTATGTAGAAACAAAACTAATTTTTGGATATTGATTTTTTTTTTTTATGTCCAGCCACTTGACTGTTTTAATTTATTACACAAGTTTTTTGGTTGTCTTTATAAAGTTTTCTACATGTAATAGCATATTGTCTGCAAATAGAAATTTTACCTCTTACTCTGATTTAGATGCCTTTCATTTTTCTTGCTAAATTGCCTGGCTAGGACCTCCTGTGTTGCATGAAAGAAGAGTGGGCATTCTTGTTCCTGATCTAGAGGAAAGGCTTTGTTTTACACCATTGAGTATGATGTTAGCCATGGCTTGTCCTGTCTGGCCTTTATTATGTTGAGGTATGCCTCCTCTATACCAGTCAGTTCCACGTTTTTAGATTTCTTAAAGCCACACCGTCCCTGAGAGTACATATCTTTTGGGTCTCAGTCGATTAGGGCTGCTATAACAAAACACCACAGACCGGGTAGCTTGTAAAGAACAGAAATTTATTTTCTAAGTTCTGGAAGTTTGAGATTAGTGTGCCAGCTCAGCAGGTGGGGCTCTTTTGGGTTATTGTATCCTCACATGGTGGGAAGGAGAAAGGATCTTTACCCTTTTTCTAAGGCACTAATCCTATTCATGAGAACGCCACCTCGTGACTCAAGCACCTTCCAGAGGTGCTGCCTTCTAATACCAGCACCGTAACAGTTAGGACTTCAGCAAATGAATTTTGGGGAACACAAACACATAGCACTCCTCAGTGGTTAGGGACCATGTAACTGCAAATGCCTAGAGACCAGCCCTGGATCCTCCTCTCCTCAGGGGCGTGGTCTCTGCAAACGCATCTCCCGAGGATGAGGAAGGGCAGGGCATGGAGAAACTGGGCAGACTGAGATTTGGCTACCATTGCCCACCACTTGGTTCATATGAACTAATTTAAGGTCAGTTTTCAAAAAGCCATTTGAGATCCTTGTTATCCACATTTCATTGTGTTGAGGTGTCAGGAGCTTGCCCATGGGCAGGAGTAAGGGACCAGATATTTGGAGCCAGCTCAGACTTATTCCAGTAGCCGTGGTGCTCGTTTAAGTGGCTGTTGAAAGGACCTGTTGGTGTCGACAGGAACGCCGTTAGGCTTTTCCTAATTCAGGGTTGCTTCTGTCTCTCCTCACCTCCCACCCCACGTCTCCCCTACCCCCCACCCTTCCTGATCACTCCAGACGGTGGGTCATGGAATCGGAACATTGGGATCAAGGCCCATCGTTCAACCCTCTCTGAGCGCCAGCCTGTGTCGCCTCCTCACGGTTCCTAGTGGGTTTCCAGGTCCCCTCAGAGCCGAGGCTCTGCCTTCATCCTGCCCCTCCAATCCCAGGGAATCCCATGTTTTGAGGATCCAGATTGATTAAAGCTGTCCTGTTATCAGTAGTGTTAACCACTGGGGCTCCTGGCCAGCACGGGAGCCACTCCACTTCCCGAGGAGGTAAAACGCCTGTCATCCCAAAGACGCTTAGTGCGCTTCTGCTGCTTGCTGAGGCACGAGGCTTACTCCCCTATTACTTCTGTGCCATCCGGGGGCCAGGCGACCCTCTGGCTCAGGGACATATACACGTTGAGCTGAGCTTGGAGCCAGATTTCTTGGCTCCACAGCTGCACCCATTTTGCTCAACCAGGCTGCTTCCTAGACCTTGGTACCCACCCAATCTTCCCTGCCCCAGACCATCAAAGGTGCCCACTCTCGTCTCCAACACACCTGTTCCTGCCATTAAACTCTCATGATCTGTTACTTTTTTCAAATTTCATGGTCTCTCGTCCCCAAGTGCCAGCTGTGCTCCCATTCAACTTGTCTAACATCCCTGGACTGAGTTGGCAGATACTGGCACTGTGTTTGGGATACGCACCTTTATTGTCCAGCTGGAGCCTCTTTCTGCCAGTGGGCATCAGCTCTTACTGTCTGTGCTAGGCATGCGGACCTTAGCACCTTCCTGTCCCCCACGTGAATCAGGACAGGCCAGAGGGTCACCCTAAGAAGCCAGTGCTTGGGTGGCGGTGACCTCCCAACCCAGCGCCTCTCTAGGCACCACCACAGCCTGGCAGCGGGGCTAGCTTGTCAGGAGGGGTGTGGGGGTGGTCATTAGACACTTGCTTTGGCACCGTGTCCTTGTTTTTCAGCTGGAGAAATACAGGTGGGCCCAGGACTAGATCATAGAACCCTCACTATTCAGTCTCTCCCCTGTCACCCCAGAGGAACACCAATGGGACTTTAAAATTTTCTTTTGTTAAAAAGAAGCCAGCACTGTTTGTATCAGACTAGTGCCAGAGGCAGAATCTTCTCATTCATCTTGCCCATGTTCCCCAGAACCAGCAACAGGTGCTGGCATCCGCCTGCAAAGGGACGGGGCACAGAGCCCCCAGGCCTCGGCGCTAAGACCCCTGGCCCGAGAGCAGCAGCCTGGCAGAGCGGTCATTCCCCTGGATCCTGAATCTTCTTCCTCCCTTTTCTAGGACATCGAGCTTAGGGGGATTCAAACTGATACATTTTTTAAATTTAACCTTCCATTTCATTTTGGAAACACCCACCTTGTGCTCTGCCACACCTCCCCGAGACAGACAGCACAGGGTGTATCACCTGCAAAGGCCGGTGCTGCCTCCCCTGCTTGCTGTGGCCCATACTTTCTTCCCAAGTGTCGGGGGCTGGTGCTTGTTCCTGCTTCAACTCCATGGATTCAGGGAGAGCTTGGTCCCAGAAAGGGGCAGTGAGGGGAGGCTAGGGTTGGAGGTACACAGCCATGAGTCGTTCCCCTGGCCCTCTGCCTTTTTGTGCCTGAAGTTAGTGTTCAAATTCCTTGCTCATTAAGAGACTAAAACCTCTGTAAGAGGCCTCAGGTGATCTGACTCAGAACCGCCCCCCTGCCCCGCCCGGCCCACTGAGGGGGCAAACCTTTGCATTCACTTAAGATCACGGGGCCACCGGGCACTGCCCAGGCCGGCCACAGCGCGTGTCTGACTGTCCCGGAAGCGGCGCCTGGTTCCCGTGGCCTTTTGGAGGGGGTTTGCTGAGAGTGGAACAAGAATGAGGTGGCTGGCAAGGGCTGAAATGACAGTGACGCTTCTACAAAGGTGGAGGTTTATTTTAACAAACTGTGAAAAGAATACAGTTGACTGACGGTCCTTGCTCGTCAGGGTCCGAGGCCACAGACTCCTCAATGAGAAGTGGCGGCTGCGTTGTGGACGGGTGAACAGACGACACGGCCAGCTCGGCTCCAGCAAGTCCTGGTCAGCCCGCCCTTTCCGCCCCTGCGGCCCGGCGCCCTTGCACACGTGACGGGCTGCGGGAACGGCGGGCGGCCCTCCTGCTCCCCTTCCTGACTTCTCCATAGGAAAAATCCCCATGCAGGGTCAGACCTACAGCGAGGCGAGCAGGCCTGGGCAGCAGGCGTTACAGGGCTCCAGCAGGGAGACGTGTTCACTTCTTGTGTCATAATTGGGTGGCGGGGGGAGCAGTGGACTGAGAAAGTTGTCCTGCCGGGCCAGGGGGTGCAGGACCTTACCGTGCCCAGGGGCGTGTGGACCCCCGCCCACGGCAGAGCAAGGTGGTCAAAGATGCATCTGCTGCTTCCCTGCAGGGCAGGCAGTGGCGCCGCTTCTGTCCCCTCCGTCGTCCGCCCTCTCATGGCACAGAACACCTGCCGGGGCGGCTGGGCCGAGGCTCCGGGGGCAGTCAGAGTGGAGCCAGCCACGCAGCGCTGTCCGCATCTAGAACTGGTGAGGTCTTCCCGACCCGCTGTTTGCCGTTCCCAGAGAAGGGCGCGCAGCTCCTCGAGTACAAACTAGAGTTAAGGCTCAAAACCATGGCTGGTACAGGAGTATCGCCACCGCCCCTCGGTCTTAGTGGTGTCCTTCTTGGTCGTCGGTGACAAATGCAATGAGTTGCTCTGCAGGGCCTGGATTCATTCCCACGCTTGTTCTAGGAATACCAATGGGGGGCTCGCTCGCTCGCTCCTTGAATAAACTGGTGGCTGAAAACACACTCTCGTTGCCCCCATGAGGAGGCCCCAGTGAGCCCGGAAGACCGCAGCACCATGACAGAGTGATAAATAATCTTACGGTCACGTGGATTTTGTGTTCCCTGGAGGCCTCACCGGGGAAGGTCCGGTCCCGGTGCCGAGAGCATAGTTGTCACCAGGGTTCCTTTCAGCAGCTGTGGGGAGACCTGTTGCCTCTGCACATTCTAGGCAGAAACAAGACCCAAACGGGGGGTGTCTGCTGCTAGCAGAATAGTGATGAGTGATGCTGTAGGCACTACTGACCTCTTGGAATTACCGAAGCTCCAGGCTTAAGAGGAACAACCTTCCACGTCCTGTCAGAGACCACCCGGCCGGCTCTCCTGGTGGCGTGAGTGACTGGTTTCTATCAGCAACAGGAAGGACAGCTCCTCGGCCCCTCCTTGCCAACCTGGGTTATAGCCCTGCGGGCGGGACCCCCGGCAGAAGGCAGGGGCCTCTCGCACATTGGCCTTGCGGCTCCCATCAGGGGCAAGAGAGCTGACTGAGCAGTGACATGCAGGGTAGTGGGGGGTCAAACATCTTTCCATTTGTTCTAAGAGCACTTAGCCCAAGGTGGAGGCCCCCTAAAGGAACAGCAGCGACTTGGCTTGTGCGTCTTGGATGGTGGTTTTGCCCTCCTCGAGTTCTCATGGAGGGCGCAGGTTTTGTGCTCTAGTCTTTCTTCATAACCAGGTACTGGGTGTGACTAAAACGGGGAGCCGGCCTCTTCAGCGCCTAGTGTGTCCTGGGCTGAGGGTGGGGGGTAAAGAAACACTGCCCTCGAGACCACCAGATGGGAGCCAGGCCCGGCCCTCCCCTGCTGCCTGTGGCTGCGGGCTCACGGGGCCAGAGGTGGCGGGGGCTGCTGACGGCGGGCGACAACGCCCCTTCTCCGTGCTGGGACCAAGGGGCCGTCAGGACGGGGGCCGCCTGCGTTTGTGTTGTAAGACCTCACGGTATGTGCTCGCACCCTTCATTGCCTTCTCGGGCTGGCGTCGGGGAGTGGACTGGAGTCCCAGCCAAGGTAATAAATACTGAGCGGAACGGGTGTGACTGGTGGGCTGGAGCGGGGGCTTCGTGACCCCAGATCCCAGTGTCACACACAACCTGAGAGCATCTGCGGGGAAACAAATGCCACTCTGATTCCAGTGCTGGGTCTCCTGTACCTTCTTATTGCAGTGGTTTCAGTCATAAAAGGCAGCTCTAGCCCTTATGGCCGGGGGCAGGGCAGGGGTGGCAGGAAGCTCTTCCTACGTTGACGGGGAGTCCATCGTGGAGAGGATTCGGACGACTTCTGCTCGCTGGGTGGGTGAGATGTGCTGGGTCATGTGGACGATAGAATCCATGGCAACCTCTGGATTGGCCTGGACCAAGCTGGAGGGGAAGATTTGGGATGGTGAAGGAGAGTGTGAGGCAGAGGCATGCAGATCACTGCTCAGCAAGCCTGCGCACAGTGGCACCAGGGCTGCTGGAGTCACCCTCTCACCTGTGTTGTTTTTCTAGATGTAAAAAGTGCCGAGCAGCAAGGCAGGTACGAGATGAACCTGAAGCACTTTTATACGTTAGAAAGCTAGCAGGCAGAGGGCTTCCCTCCTGGCCTAGGGGTTAAGTCTTAGCGCTATCACTGCTGCGGCCTGAGTTCAATCCCGGCCAGGGAGGTGACTCACATGGTGCAGCAGACCTCGCCTGTCTCGCCCACTGCTCCCCTCAGCAGTGTATTTCAGGAGATCTGCCTGTTCTGCTCCCCACTCTGTCTCTGGTGAATCCTGTCACCCTCCCCCCTCCCCCCACCTTGCCCTAGAGGGCAAGGCCGTGCTCTACCCTTCTCTTGCCCACCTTTCTAGACCCCACTTCTGTGCAAATAAAGAGTAGTTTAAAAAAAAAAAAGGCAGGCAGAACCAGAGCCAGCATGAGTCTGACCACTGGCTAAATCTGGGTGTCAAAATAAGTGGAATAGAAAAGTGAATTACAAATAACTGGGGGAAAAAAATAGAAATACTATGGTAATATAAGTGGAGGGAGGAGAAGAGGCGGCTTTGGCTTATAGAACTGGAGTGTGGAGGTCATGGTGGAGCTGGAGAGGGGTCAGGCAAGACTCATCAGTGGAAGCCAAATCTCGAGGCCCTGGTGAGATGCAGGGTATCTGCATGGCTTTACAGCGTCTCCCCAGAGGCTTCTCTGTAGGTGCATGGGAGGCAGTAACTCAAGAGTGGCTTGATCAGGTCATGGAAGTGAACGTCAGGAGGGAGAGGATGGTGGGGTGTGTGTGTGTGGGGAGTGGCTGAGAATGTACAGCGTGAATCGAATCAGGAGGAAACAAAGGCAACTATGTTCTACAAATGGTAGATGAAAGTTTCTATCGATGTTAAATGTACTGAAGTCGAACATCTTTCTGTGGTTACGTAAGAGAATACCTTTCTTATTAGGAAAGGTATACTGAAGTATTTTGGGGGGGGTAAAGGGCCATGACATATGTAACTTACTCTTAAATGGCTCAGAAAAAGGAGAAAAAGTATGTAAAGCAAGTATACAGAGAAGGCACAGGCAGATGTGCCACACTTGAAGTGACAGGGATACCTGCTTATGTGCTGTCCTGTTTCTATAGGGAAAGTTGCAGAACAGAGGACAAAGTCCCCGGCAGTGTCTGCCCCCTGCCCCTCACCCCCCACCCCCCGCCCCATCCGTGGAGAAGACTGTCGTGTCTGGAATGCAGCTGCCATTTGACCAGGAAGGGAGGGGGTGGTTCCAGGACCCTCCTTGCAGTCAGCTTTGCTCGCAGAACTGCTCATCCAGTCAGGGGATCTGCATTTGGAGCTAATAGTTGGGCACAGTGAACTAAGCCTTCATCTAGTTGAGATTACTAAGCGCCCCTGGGGACCAGTAGCTGAGGAAGAATTGTGCTGCGGGGCTCTATTTTTATCTGTGGGTCAACGGCAACAGTCTAAGATGGAAAGAGATCATGAAGATTATAGAAGGCAGCAGCATCTCATGATTTGCTCTTAAATTTTCATTCCAAAGAAGTGAGTCCCACTGCGAGTCTCACCTGCGGATCTGCTTGAGGACATAGTCTCTGCTGATGTATTTGATGTTTTCCTCAATGACTGAGCGGACGCCATCTTCCTCCGTCAGCTGTTTCTCCAGCCACTCCACCAGGTCCTTGTTGTTGTCCCAAACATAGGCCTGCAAACAGATGACTCTGGTCAGACACCAGGGGCCAGGCCCAGCGGGCCACCCCCTCGCTCTGCAAAGGTCACTCAACTTAAAAATGTTGTGATTCTGTTACTGTTGCTCTTGGGAGGAGGAGCCAGGCCCCAGGCTCTCCTCGCTTGTTGCTTCCTTGAAGCGAGGTGCGCATGCACCGTGACTCTGGTCCTGGCAGACATGAGGTCTTACGAGTCCTCAAAGGCTAAGGAAAGTCAATCCCTGACAGCTTTGGGAGGAACAGTTTACAAGCCCAAAGTGTTTCTGGTGACGCATTGCGAGGGAACGGTGGTACTGGGGTGGGTGTGTGTGTGTGTGTGTGTGTGCGCTTCTGGGGAACAAACAAACCTTGAGATGTAAATCCCCTCCAGCCAGCCCTGGCAGAGGAGTTGCCTGCTCGGGGATTCCTGGATCCAGCCATGGCCTTTCTATAAGGCACAGAAGGGGTCTCAGGGCAGAGCCACCAGGTCGGAAACCTAACCCCCATTTTACTTTCTATGAGTGTATTCAAACGGGTCAAGACGCTGTAACCCTGAAAGTCTCAACAAACCACCTCTCGTCTTCCTCTTTTTCAAGATCATTTAGCTGAGCATTTCCAAGGTAGTTGACTACATAATAATTCAGGAGTGTGTTAGAAACCTAATAGCCTTCTCCTTGCTCTCTTCGCCTCTCATTTTCTTTACAAATCATTTAGGAATCGTTTTGTTAATGGTTTCCGGAAAACCAAGTACCACCATTAGGGCTCATTCATATTTATGTCATTTTGTTTGGGTAATTAAACACAAAGCTCGTCATTTAAAGGTGCGCTATCCTTCTCTGTTATCACTAACGAAGTCAAAGTCAGAATGACAATGAGTTTGGCGCTGTAATTTAATAGGTGGGTGCATTAGGGGCTCCCAGAGGCTTTGAGGCTTGAGACATGGCTCAGGAAACCTGTGTCCAGGAGACTGCTGTGTCCACAGGGCCCCAGCCCATCTCCCAGGGGCAGAAACAGCACTGCGCTCTGTTTCCTAACTTTCTATTTTGTGCCTTTAAAATGATGGTTTCTTGTTAGACGCTCACTTCCCCACCTGACTCAGCTGGCGAGGTGTCTGTGACTGGGCACGTATTATTGCCATGTAATTGACTTGCACATCTTCTAACCATTCTTAAGGAGTCCTTCACAGTTGAAGGATTAAGGACCAGCAATGCACCTTTTGTAACTCTTTGCCAGGTTCTCTTCCTGGACCCAAGTTTGGCCAATGCTGTGTAATCATCTATCAAAAGATCAGTCCCACCTCCGTTCCCCCACCGACCTCTGTGTCAGGTCCACACTGCTGACACCTGAGGCTAAGATGGTGGGGTGGCCTGATCTGTTCCTAGAAAGGCCGTGCTCTACCCTTCTATTGCTGGGGGGAGGGGTGCTGTGTTCCCTCAGTGTGATTGTCCTAGCTGGACAGATGGCTGCACCTGGACTCAGCATGCCCTGAGCCCAGGTTTCCACCTCCGCTACTGGTAATTTAGACTTCTGCTCATTTATGAAGATTTGGAGGGAGGAAAAACTAAAACAATGAATGTTTCTTGGGTTTCAGAATGAAAAAAAAAAAAAAAAAAAAAAAACCAACTAGATTTACCCAAGAATCCCAAAGCCTTTAGTTTAGGAGAATATTTAATACTCTTATTAATCATTTTTAATCCGTTTGCTTTTAATTAAGAAACAGCATGATGCTTCCCTATCAACATATGCCAGGGAGCAGATTAATTGTGGCTTAAGATAACTCTCCTTGATTGGTGTAGTGTATTAGCTAACGAGATGCCTGCTTCTAACGGTGCTCACACACTACACAGGAAAGCCAGCTACCCTCTAGAGAAAACTGCCTTCCCCTCCTGCAGCCACAGAATATGCTAGGTGTTTAAGCCAAACATCAACGTTTCCAGATAGGATTAGAGCAACACATTCCAAGTTTAGGAGTTATTACTCTAAAGTATCCCTTTGGAAAATTTGGGGTCCCTAATCTGAAAGAGATGCTGTTTGCTCAAAGCACACCTGGATGACAACCCTAAGCCAAGAAAGTTTGATTGCAGCACACAGCACCAAAGACAGGGGCTGTAAACGGAAGCACCCCATGGTGCCACAGGTGTTTCAGACCTGGGAGGGTGTCACCGGCTCCCTCTCTGCCCTTGTGGAACAGAATTGTATGACTCATCTTTCCAGCCACCTGGAACAATGAGCCAGCCCTATTCTCACCAAAAAAGCCATTATCATTTCCCTCGAGATGATGATGAAAAGGTGACTGTTCCCAGGGTTCCACTGGGGGTTTTAAGCAGGTGTGAAATGTCGAGCTGCTGACTTCACAACGGGCCTGCGCCCAAGTGTCACCTGCCCCACCTGTGCCCCAATCTGAACATTTTAATACCAATACAGTATCGATAAGGAAACATCACAACGGTGGACTTGGGACATTCCGCAGACACTATCTCCCTGCATCAGCAGGTAAGTATCTTGCTCTGCTCAGCTACACTAATTGTATGTAGTAATTAGTCTATCTTACAAAATCTAAATGACCTATTTAGAAAGTTTCATTTCTATGTATCGGGGAGCTGTTAAGCCTGCCTTACTCAATGGTACGGCCGGGCCGGGGTGGGGGTGGCCAGGGCACAGCCTGCGGGATGTGAGCCCTGACAGCCGTGCCCACACAACTCACGTGTGAGCTGCCTAGAGGCCTCCTCAGAAAGGGGTTTTTCTGAGACGGCGCAATAGCAACTTGCCCCGAGAGCAGGGCCTAGGGTGGCCTGACGGACCCCACTCAAGGGCCACTGTCTCAGCCCAGGAGCCAGGCAGTTTTCCAGGTTCCGGCCTCGTCTCCCCCTCCCTGGGCTGAAACCAGGTGGTGGCTAAGACTTGTCCACGGGTCAGTTAAGACCAGGCAGTGGAAATCAAACAACTCTACAAAAGTTGCTTTTCCCTCCACCCCCCTCACATGCAGTGACTATTCATCTCACTTGGAAATCCAAAACAAGAGCAAATGGGTAGCTGTATGCCAGCACTGCTGTACCCCGGCATCCTGGAGTGTGGATATATTAGAGCAAGCCAAGTCCAAGAACATTACCGAGAACCTACTGTGCTCACAGAACCAGCCCCTCTCCTGCCAAGATTAGTTAAGTAAAACATCTCTAACTCTCAGACTGTTATTTTTTTACCTTCTGACACACAGGCATGTTTTGAGGGCCTCATGCTTTCCGTACCAAGTCATTTAAAACTCTGCTGATGTAAACCCCATCCCCGTGTCACACATGAGGAATAAAGATTTAAGCCACATGTCCAAGCTGGTAAATGGCAAAACTGAGATCCAGAAAGCTTGCAGAGTGGGTCCTAATCTCAACCTCTACTACTGAGGTTTGAGGGGGAAAAATGTCTTTGAGACACCACATACCTCAAACTGTATCTAAGAAGCAAGAGAAATCTTGTCCATAAAACAAATATGTACCATGTCCTTTCCACCCAATGTAAATCTAACTACTACTTTTTGTTTCCAGGGAGCTGTAGTGATGCTTTTCTTCAGCCTGCAGTGAAACTATGACCCATAAACGCTGCTCTTTCCTGCCATAGGACCGTCCCAGGGGATCCACACAGACACATGGGAACAGAGTCCTCTAAGGGAAACCAAAGATTTACACTGCTCAGCTCTACAACATCAGTGTCTTCAGATTCTCTCTTTTCAGGATTAAGATTAAAAAAAGAACACGCAGCATGGCTAACAGATGCTGTCCTACCAGAAACAGCCATAAGGCCTAGAGGGGTACTTCCTGGGCAAAGCCAGCGTCTAGACTTGGTCAGTGTCTGGACCTGAGACACAGCACACACTGAAGAACCGAAAAAGCGCAACGGTTTCAAATCACTCCCAGACACAGCAGATTCCATGTCAGCCCTTCAGAGGCGGCGCAGTCGGCTTTGAACACTGTACCATTTTCCTCCATCAAGGGCACTGCAGATTTTATCACCCACCCCACACTAAACTAGGTCCTGCTGAGCCTGCAGAATGTGGCAGGAGGTTTCAAAGCCACGTGATGGGATCACCCGCCCGTCCTCTCAGGCTAAAGTCAGGACAGTGCTCTGTCAGGGCAAGGGAAGCAGCCTCATGGTTGGGGGCAGCAGGGAAGCCTCCTCCTGAGCTCTGGGCCTGGGCTTGTCTTTGGCATTTGAGTTCCTGCCGGGAGTATGTTCTCTGCACTGTAAGACACACTGTCCCCTGAGAGCAGGACGCTAAGGAGCAAGTAAAGGGCCTCTCCACTCACTTCATGCTTCGAGGGAAGCTATTCCTTCTCCTCATCCTTGTGCCCACTGAGGCTGTGCACGTCCATTAGTGACTAATGTGGTAGGAAGGCATTGCAGGCCTCTCCTGGCCACACACACACACGCACACTCCATTTACCTAGCCGGCCACTCTTAACTGGAGAACAACCTCTTATTTTACACTTGCATGACTTTCAATGCCAACTTCCACTAGGAGCTGCCAGTAGCCACTGACAAAATTGTCTCACTCAATTATGATGCCACACACTGACCTTAACCTGAACCAAATGTCACGTAAGGCTGCACTCCCCCGCTGCACATCTGAAATATTTATCCAAAGAAGCCTTTCAGTCGTAAAGAAATGGTCAGACCCGTACAAAGGTGAATCTTAGAAGCACCTGACCCACTCGCTTCTAATCCTTTGGCACATCTTGGGAGCTCCTGCCTGAGAACAGTCAGTAGAGGTTTCAGCAACGCTTTCCAGGAAGAGGGTGAGGTGCCCGCCCTCCATCAAGACTAACCCAGCAGGCACCAAATGCCCCCACAGGAGCATCATCCCATAGGAAAAGACACGTTTTCAGCACATACTACCAATATTTTGATAAAATGTATATGTGATGATCTTAAGCCATATACCACTAATAAAAGCTAATTGCCTTTTTCTTAGTAAAGTTCTGACTTTCCTGCCCATCTTCCAGCAACTATCTTCTTTACACCAAATTTCCAGTGGCAAACGCTAGTGCATGGATGCAGACCCACCCCATGCCCAGCCTGGGCAAGAGCAGGAGTGCCATCTCCCTGTGAGATCGGCCCAAGAAGAGGCTGGATTCCCAGCTCCCTGCAGGAAGGGCAGACATTTCCTTCCAGCTCAGATCTGAAATCAGCTCTTGAGCTCTAGTCACAGGAGCTACCTAAGGACTATTTTCTCCAAATAGCCTGAGTGTCTTTCTATAACACAAATCAGAGCACATTGTTCTGCTGCTTAAAGCACCGCAGTGGCTTCCCAAAGACCTCAGGTCCCCTCAATACAGCTTCCCAGGTGCTGCATGGTCAGGCCTGCATGTTGTCTTATTCTGCACCCAGTCTCTGAGCCATCCTGAAATGTGTGCAGCGCCCTGCATGCTTCCATACTCTGCTCTCAGGCCTTGGCACATGCTGTTCCCTCTGCTCAGGCAATTCCCCCTCTTCCCAGCAGCTAACCATTTCCTCTGATTCGTTCCTCCTTTCTTTCCAGGTCTCTGCTGAGACATCACTTCTTCACAAAGTCTTGTCAGACTCTCCTCTCCCCACTCCCAAATAGTGGGCTCTTTGAGCTCTGTTCTGCCCCAGGTGGGCTATGTTTACCACTGGCCTCGCTGATGTGTGTGACCGCTTGACCAATCTGTGTCCCTGTCTACAACAGGTGGTGAGCTCTGGGTGGACAGGAAGAGACTGCCTCCTCTTTCACCACCATGGCCCCAGGGCCTAATGCAGCATCTGGTACTATGCACAGGGTTTGCAGAATGACAGAATGAGCGCAAAAAAAATGTTGTACCACCTCTTCTGACAAGACATCATGACCTATTACTGTGGCAGAGGAAAGAGGGCCTAGCCTGTGTGTCCCCTTCAACTCCAACCCTTAGAGGCCTGGGGGTTCTGGGCTGACAAGCCTGGTGGTTTTCAGGTGGAGTGAGGAGCACAGCATGAAGGTGCCTTCACAGGCACCCACCCACCTTCACTGTTCCTTCCACTTCCACAAACCAGCGTCTTAACATGGCCTGGATCTGGCCGTCGGTCAGCTCAGGGTTGGCATTGTGGATTTTCTTCTTGACCAGGTCCTCCAGCAGGAGACGCCTCAGTCTCCAGTAGAAAAAGGTACGGGATGTTTTCCAGTCTAGGATGTCCTACACACAGATAAGAAAAAGCTTAGTCATTCCAGCTCAGTGCCCGCCACAGCCACACCCCCCTACTTTCCTCCAAGTTGCTAGACTCGAGCTGACCATGAGCTTCCCAGTTTAGAGCCCCAGGCCCAGCTGACTGCAGCACCGTACATAGCAAGGGGCCTATCTGAGCTCACCCTACACAGGGCTGACATGTTCTGGAGAAGCTGTGAACTCTCAGATTAGTTGAGTGAGGAACAGGTTTTGAGCAGATGGCTCAAACTACTTGAATGCAGATCCAATGAGAATGAGCTGCTGCTGGAACCTTGACCCTAGAGTACTTCACAGCCTGCAACAGCTGTCCTCAGGAGCACATGTGACTCAGTTTCCCATTAGTAAAATAGAGCTTGACTCTGAGGAGCCCACAGTTACCTAAATCATAATTGCTTTAGGATGACCATGGATACAGTAAAAGGGAAACTCTCTTAAAAAAAAAAAAAAACACACCTGAAAACGGTTTCCTCTGCACACGCTGTTTTAATCTAGCCCTAACAGCACCCCGTCCGTGAGCCCATGTGCACGAGGCGTGCACTCCCTCACTCGCAGGTCTCTGACAAGTCGGGAGAAGTGGCAACCACTGTACTTACGTTAATAACACCCTTCTCCTGCATCCGGCCCGGTGTGTCGTGCAAGTCAGCAAACTGCACGGCTACCTGATGGTAAATGGGAATTAGGAATTCCTCCCGCTCCTTCAACTTGTTCTCCAGCTCCTTCCGCTCAGCTGCACTTAACTCTGGGGTGCCTGCAATTAAATAAACCTGCCCGTCACACACTGGGTGACCAGGAGTCTCCGCAGAGACTCAGCCAGTCACAGGAATCTCTCTCTCTCTCTCTCTCTCTCTCTCTCTCTCTCACACACACACACACACACACACACACACACACACAGCTACCCCCTGCTGCCTGGCTCTCCATTGTCTTCATCACCTCTTTGCTGAGTAACAGGACTCCCTCTGCAAGATGCCAGACCTGGCCTCACCCTGCCACAGGGAGCCACATGCCCTTGCCCCGTGGAAGCGACTCTAAGAAGCAGCATGGGTGTCCTCCCCAGGTCTCTCCCTGAGCAGGTGCAAGCAGCCACCTTGAGGCCTGGGTCTCCCATCATTTATTTCACTGACTGACATGCCCCCCTCTCCGCGGCAGCACGCGGCACCCATGACCTCTGACCAGTGAGAGAGTGGCTGGACTCTCCCAGGGTGGGGCATGGTAGAAGAGCCTCTCTGCCTTCGAGCACCAACCAGCATCTCTTTTCCCCATGTCCACCCCAGTTACCCACCACCTTGATAAGGACCGGAACCCTTCCGAAAGTTGCACACTGCTTTACTCCGCAGCATCGAATCTCAGGTTTGGGTAACTGTAACCTAAAACTGGTAGAATCCACTCTAAAGAGACTGGATCTGTGTGTCTCATGCCAACTCAGTGGATTAGTCAGCCCCTAGCCTCCTGCCTGGTTGCTGCTGCCAGAGCCAACCCTTGCCCACAATGAAACAGGCATTCTGGTTCTTGGGCTAATGGAGAAGGAAGAGGGAAGAAGAGAAAGGCAGTCGATGATGATCCCCATTTGGATCATCAGGCTTATAAGCACACAGTACCCTCATTCAACAGATAGGAGCCTATGGGATTCTTATAACCAGGGGGACCCCCCCATCAATAGTGTCCAGTAGAGGTGTTGCTACTCTGTGCTTTTCTTCTTAACTCTCAGAGTGGGACTTGCAATCAATACTGGAAATTTAGGTGCCTAGTAAAGAGGAGTAAGTCTAGCCGAAGGAGCAATAGGTGACAGTCCCTGGCGTAGGGACAACCTCAAGTGCTTTGTCACCAAAGCTGACTAATAAATACATGACCACCAGTGATGGGATGCAAAAGGGAAAGGCCTATTTCAAGCATGTCTGCCTGGGAACAGGCCTTGCTTTTTATGCCACTATGAATCAAATGCCATAAACAGCCTTGGGCTGGTGAGTGAGCCGTCAGTATTATACATAAACACATGTTAATAGAATAGGGATGCAACTCTAGTACCTAGTTTCATTTTTATGAGGTTTTTGGACACCCAATGCCATTCTCTCTCTCTCTCTCTCTCTCTCTCTTTCTCTCTCTCTCTCTCCCCCTCCCCATCACTACTTTGAAACTGATGAAGAGTGCTGAAGACATCTTTTCTTGGGTTCCCACATCCAGGACAATCACTGCCCTGTTGCTTTGAGGTCCTGACACGTTGGCACCCTTGTCTTCCAAACAGGCAAACAGACCGACTGAGGGATGAGATTAAGGCCCCTTCATTCTAGTGTGATCTGCCTGAAGAACTGATGGGAGGAAGACTAACTGGTTTATTCTGAGATGAGATTTTCTCAGTTACAATATCCTTGACAGAGCAGCAAATATTTTTCCTTCTCCAGTGAAAGGAACCAAGACTCTTTGAGAAATGGATGAATCCAGGGCTAGGGAGGAAAACTGAAAGACGGGTCTGAACATATCACAAAAAGCAAGGAAGTGCTCAAAAAATGATTGGGACATGTTAGAAGGACACAGGAGTTAGTTTAAAGGTATTCTCATTGGCCAAATCTGGGATAATTTGAGCATCATTTTATCAAAATAGGGTAATGATATTTATGATATTTATTATCAGATACAATATTTATGGAATAAAATAAGAACCTTGAGTCCCTCCTGATAAAAATAATTAACTGGGGGATGAGGAGGAGTTCTTTCCAGCAGAATAACAATTAATAGCCATAAAGAAATGATGGAATTAGAAAATCACCATTTTACAACCATCACAGTAGCTGATCTTGCCAAGAATTATCAATGGCTAACTGATAATTAGCGGGTGAAAGTGTGATGAGGAACAGAATGTTTACATGGTCTCAAAATATCTCCTGACACACTACTTATTAATTACAAAGGGGGAAATGGTAACTTTATAGTGGGTTAACTGGTGAACATTATCTTAAACAAGTAATCAAATTACCATCATAAAGAACAGGACAGACTGATAGCACATGCCACATGATACAATGTCCTCAAAAGGACACAACATCACTTTTGCAATGTTCCTGCCAAACGTAAATAATCTGACTCGAACCATTGGAAAATATAAGACAAAGAAAGTCAAAGAACCACTGTAAAGTGGACTAAAAATACTTGATAACTGCAGTGTGTGGTCTGGGATTAGACATCTTTGGGAGGACTGGTAAAATTTTAACATGGATCATGAACGAGGCAGTAGTACTGCGCTAGTGTTATAGTTCCTGATTTTGATAAGTGTATGTGGTTACATAAAAGAAACTCTGCATTCTTAGACTAATACTTATCCATTAAGGAGCATGATGTCTATGGATTACTCTCAAATGGTTCAAAGAAAGTGTGTGTGCGTGTGTGTGTGTAGAAAGTGACAACATGCACATGGGCATGCAGAAATGATAAAGCAAATGAGACAAGATGGCAGCAATAGATGAAGCTGAAGAACAGGCATTGGAAGTTTTGTACTAGTCTGATACCTTTTTGTGAAATTACATTAAATGGAAAGTTAAAAAATTAAGCCAAACTAAAAAACTTTTCCTGGTTCCCTAATGCATACAATCAATAATCAAAGTTAACATTACATTATCCTCATTTTACAGGTGAAGAAACTGAGTCTCTGACAATGGATGTGAGCTCCCAAGGTCAGAGAGCTAAAAAAGAGCAAGGCCAGGACTCATGCGCAGAAGTTTGGTTCTGAAGCCTTTGACACCAGGTTGTGTCTTCTTGCTTACTGGGGCAGAAGACAAATGCTTCAGTTAGGCACATCCCTTTAATTTCAGAAAAGGGTAAGTGATGATGGCAGAATCCTGGTTGATAAAGCTGAAGGTCCCTCATAACTCCATTCCACAACTGAGATAATCCCTCCAATTCCCCTTTGGTAGGTTGGATATGATTTCTTAGATAGCCCTAAGATTCAGGGGTAGCTCCTCCTGTTATTGTGAAATCAAGATCTAACACAACAGGTAAAAATCACAGCTCTGTTGGGGGGTGAGGGATGACCGTGAACAGGATCATGGACATGACTGAACAGTGAGTTCCAGGCCCTTACAACAGTCTCCCTCACGGCACACACTTGTGTGCACACACATACAGGTGCACCGATATATAACACATACCATTTACTAAACATTTGCTATGTGCTGGCACTCAGTGCTTCCAGAATCACATGGCTTGTAAGTAACCATTCACAGTTCAGACCTACATCTGGCCAGCTGTTACCACTGCCGCCACCACTGCTGCCACGTTGAATACCTCGTTACCTTGTACTTTCCAAATTGCTTCACATACGTCATATCTAATCCTTACGATAACCCAAACCGACAGACAGGGTATCTATTTTACAAATAAGAAAACCAAGGCTCTGAAATGTAAAGTGACTTGCCAAATGGCATCCAGCTCTTAGGTAGCAAAGCTGGTATTTACACTTGGGTCTGGTTGTCTCCAAAACCTGTGTTCTTCCACATTAAAGGATACTGAAGGCAGCCAAGCAGAGACCCTGGCAGTGGTGACAAAGAGTTTGATTCATTATGTTAAAGAGGAGTTAAGAGCACTGGGGGCAGAGGAGGAGTCACAGTCTAGGAGCACAGCCTTCTGGGAATAGGGCCTTGGCTTTTCCAAGCTGGAGCAACAGAGAAGGCTGCCTCCAGGACCAACAAAGGTCTCATACAACCAATCAAGCTATTCTAGAGCTTTCAAAGAACAATGTATTAACACCTGTGATGCTCTGGTCCTCCAGAGACTGGAAGATGACAGAGCGTCCCCTAAAGACTGCCTTGTTTGATACCTTCAGTAATATCTCTGATCACAGCTCAAGATCTACCTCAAAAAGGCATTAAAGGACAAGGCAGAAATAGAGAATGTATATATTTTAAAATGCACATGAGAAAGTCAAGGATTTGTTTGGAGGGGGGGTGGAAAAGGGAGGTTCTCTAAATTTTATTTTCTAAAAACAAAAGGCTGCTCTCAAGCTCGTTAGACCCTTGCATAGCATACCGAGGGCCCCTCTCTCCTTGTACAGCAAAGCAGCCAGCCCTGGTAATGATTTAGAGGAGATTAACAAATATGTCAATGTCTATTTTCTGCTTAATTTAAAAGCGGCGTCTATAAAGATTTTTGACTTCTGAACCCTGTTCTCCTGAAAGAAAGAAGGTAAGAATGAGGAGGGGGATAAAGAGTGATTATCCTATCATTGATCGTTTGTCAGGAGCATTTCTTATTCACTGGGCTATTGTAAAAAGCTAAGCTCTCGATCAATCCCGTAAGCTCCCTGTACAATTAAATATCTTGGAATGGTTTTCATTCTTTTCTAGCCAGATTGCAGGGCCTCAGGGTTTTTAGGAAACCAAGTCGGTGTGTGTGCGTGCGTGTGTTTAAGAATATGCTACAGAGGGGAAAGCCATTCTTTTCTAAAGGCTTAAGTGGGAGGGCAGAGGTAGGCTGCTCTCCTCTCTTCCCCAAATAAGATCTCCCAAGAAATAATAAAAATCCAACCTTAAAATTTTAATGTAAAGAGTTAAATACAGAAGAGGCATTACTACTTCGGTCAAGTAGGAGTAGCTACTGTTATTGAGATGTTACAATGTTCATCTCATTTAATCCTTGAAACAATCCTAAAAGATCACGAGTCTACAGATGAGAAAACTGGGGCACAAAAAAGTGAAGTAACTGGCCAAGGCCACAGAGGTAGGGAAGAGAGTGGGGATTTTGGCTAAGGTATCCTGCCTT